AATTTCGCCCATAACTTAAAGTCTTGTAGGGCTTCAGTATTGGAGCTTGCACTGTCTGATCATACGGCGCAAATCCTTAAATGTCCAGTGGATGTAGCTTGTTCTATTGATCGATGGCGTACAATTAAAAGAAACTATAGTGCAGATAATTTAAAAAAGTTTAAGTCCTATATTAAAAGTCTACACTTCACAGATATTTATCAATCCAATGACCCCAATGAAGCATACAATACCTTCAGTGAAATATTTTCGTTCTTTTATAATCAATGTTTTCCTGAGTCTTTGGTATCAATAAATGTACATAAAAAACAGAAATGGATATCACGTGGGATAAAGCTTTGTAGTAAAAAGAAACGAACACTGTTGTGGAAGTACCGAGTAAAACCGACCATTCAGAATAGAAACGAGTTAAAAAAATATTCTAAACTGTTCAGAACAATTGTTAATAAGACAAAATTTGCACAAAATACTTATAAAATAAAAACATCATTGAACAAATCAAAAACTTCCTGGCAAATAATTAATAGTACAAAATTTAATATACCTAAACATAACATAAACAAAATCCGTCTTGAACATAAATGCATAACAAATCCTAGCGAAATAAGTAACTTATTTAATAATTATTTTGTTGATAAAATCCAACCATCCCACTTGCATTGCACTGGAATTTGTAAATATATTACAAGTAAAAAGGACTCAATGTTTATGGCTCCGAGTGTGCCACAAGACATAGTAAAAATTATTCAATCTTTGAAAAATACTAACAGCGTAGGATGCGATGGTTTTAATACTAAGATTATTAAAGAAGTATCATACGAAGTATGCCAACCTTTAAGTCATATAATAAACCTAAGCATTAGTAAAGGTATATTTCCAGACGCCTTAAAGAAATCTATAATAAAGCCATTATTTAAAAAACAAAATAGGGAACTAATGGAAAATTATAGACCAATTTCGCTGATACCAATTATTTCTAAAATATTTGAAAAATACATATACAAAGAGTTAAATACATATTTTGAAAAACATAAGTTATTTTGTGACGAACAAAAAGGTTTCAGGGCAAATAAAAGTATAAACATGGCGATCTATGACTTTCTTTATAAAGTGATGGTCAATGTAGACAAAAAAAATCCAGTATGTTCGATTTTCTGTGATATGACCCAAGCCTTTGACTATGTGCATCATAATACCCTACTAAAAAAAATGGAAAATTATGGGGTACGAGGAAATATACAAAATCTTTTAAAATCTTATTTATCAAATAGAAGGCAAGTTACAGAAATCAGTAGACTCAATAGTAAAACTAAACGAGAGGAAATATATACATCACATGAACGTCAAGTGACATATGGCGTTCCACAGGGAAGTGTTTTAGGCCCCCTTTTATTTACGATATATATAAATGACTTTCCGAAAAGTATAGAACATACCATGTCACTTTTCGCGGATGATAGCACTATAACCATACCATGTAGAATAAGAGAAGAATACAACAATGACATAAATAGTAGTTTAATTAATGCCATAGACTGGTTAAACAATAATAACCTAAAAATTAATCTGAGTAAAACTGTTATCATGCACTTTAGTACAAGACCGAATGCATCAATTAGTTCGGACATTACATATAGAAATGATACTATTGAATCAGTAACATCAACAAAATTTTTGGGTTTAACAATAGACCAAAATCTGAACTGGAAAGCTCATATAGAAAAACTTGCAAAACAATTAAGTAATAGAGCATATGCTTTACACAGATTGTCTCAAACAATACATATAAACACGTTATTAATTGCGTACTACGGATTAGCTGAATCTATTCTCCGTTACGGGATCATTTTTTGGGGCAATTCAGTGGAATGGGCAACCATTTTTAGGGCACAGAAAAGATGTCTGAGATCAATGTTTACACTTAAAGTTACTGATAGTTGCAGGCCATACTTTGAACAGTATAGGATTCTTACAATGCCATCGTTATACATTCTCGAAATAGTTTTATTTGTTATGTATAATTCTCATTTATTTCCGCGTCTTGAGGATAAAACTCAGCGCAACAGGCGTGATTACACAAAACTTTGTCTTCATCCTTGTAAGACCGCGCTTATGCGCAGAAATGTATTTTGCATGGCACCTATAATATTTAACAAATTGCCAAAATCATGGAGAGAACTAGGTGCCAACCATATCAAGCGAAAGCTTAGACTTTTTTTATTACAGAAGGTCTACTATAGTGTCATCGAATTCTTAAATGACACAGTTATTTGATTTAAGTAAGACATGGCTATTATTTTATAAATTATGATTATTTTATTGGTTGTGATTGTTTCATTGGTTATGTGATGACATATTGTACGAATTTAATTATGACTTATCTGTATCTATAATTTTAATTTTGACATACCTACCTACATACAATTTTATTTGACATTTATAAATATTTAACACTGATAATATGATTATTACTTACAAAAAAATTTGCATGCCATGACAAGTGGTAAACATGTATTAAGTGCAACTGTTCTATTTTTTATCATCCTACATACATGCACCTGCGTGTGTGTGTATGTATACACATGTTTTTGCGAATAAATTTGATTTGATTTGATTTGATTCTCAATATTTTCATTTAAATAATGTTTTACTATATATCTTCGAATAACCCAGTAATGTACATCATCCAATGGCATCCTCCCCGGTCCCAGAGAGTCGCGAGTTCGTATTCTGTGCCCGTAATTCCGTGAGGAGAGACGTGCCGACATTAGGATCCCGGACTTAGGAGTTAGGAACCATGGGGCTGGAGAAACGAACCATCAAGATCATTATTATAGTTGCTGTTGTGGTCCTTGTTATTGGTGAGTGAAAATATATATTTTTAATTAGGTTGTATTTATAATTAGGTCTTTTTAAATATTAGGATTTAAAGATTATTTTTAATTGTATGTATAGGTACTTGAAAGAAGTTTTGTAGATATTTTTATCAATTGAATTATCGTTTTTATGTGGTGTTGACATGTAAATACATACTTGTTTTGCATTTTTTAAATTGAAATTTATGTATCTATCACAAAGTAGATAGTAGTCTATAATAAATAGTATAAATTGATTTTTTTTTGGGGATTTGCTATGTTCATTTCATTATCGATATATTAGATAAAAACTTAATTAAAGTCTAATTGCTTCCGAAAGGTGAGTAGTTCAGATTCAATGATGTATGCTACGCGAATAGTTAAAATAAGATTAGTTCAGTACAGGTTCACTATTACCTTGTTCGGAAAAAAATGTATGAGAGCTATGAATGAGCGCCTTGATTCTATACATTGAAAGTATCTATAAGGTGTTTGTCTATATTATTAAGTGCTCAAAACGAAAGCGCACAGTGTTTAGTAAAACATTTCTTTGTAGGGTTTCCGTGGCTGGAGGCGGCTTCAGGATAATGCGCTAGTGGTCACGCAAACTTATAATGAACAGGTGCATTTGCACCTATAGGTGCATTGCACAATATACATAATATAATACACACAATATCATTTATGGTATATGGTAATAGGCTCACCCCCTATCACATAAAATAGTGAAAAGTGGGTTACAGTGGCATTAAGTGCCATACTTCTGCCTACCCCTTCGGGGATAAAAGGCGTGAAGTTATATGTTGCTACTAAAAAGGTAGCGGTAGAAGATAAGGCCAAGCTGGCATCTAAAAAACTCGGTGTACTGAACAGAGCGAAGCGGTACTTCACGCCGGGACAAAGACTGCTTTTATATAAATCGCAAGTTCGCCCCCATATGGAGTACTGCTCTCATCTCTGGGCAGGAGCGCCAGCATACCAGCTTGGACCTTTTGACGCGGTCCAAAGGAGAGCTGTCAGACTTGTTGACGATCCTATACTTACGAGCGGTATCGAGCACTTAAGTGTAAGGAGAGATTTTGCCTCCTTGTGCGTGTTCTACCGCTTGTATAATGGGTTATGTTCTGCAGAATTATTTGATATGATGCCCACGGCCACTTTTTATCATCGCACCGCTCGCCATCGGCAGGGGGTTCACGCTCACTCATTGGAGCCAAAATGGTCCCGTACAGTTCGGTTTCAGAGGAATTTTCTCCCACGGACCCTCCGATTGTGGAATGAGCTCCCTGCCGTGGTTTTCCCAGTGGGCTACAACATGAGGTTCTTCAAGAGGGCGGTGAATAGGTTTTTTAAGGGTCGGCAAGACGCATGTAATGCCCCAAGTGTTGCAGGCGTACATAAATAAGCCACGGTAACCGCTTACCATCAGGTGGGCCGTGTGCTTTTTTGCCACCGTCGTGGTATAAAAAAAAAAGCGGTATTTATTAAAAGTATCTATGAATAAAAATCTTCTGAGTATAACATAAAGCATATATGTCATTACAATTTACATTCAATTGTTTTTTCAGTGCTGTGAAGCTTATTGTCAATTTTAAAATAAGTTTCCGTTTTTCATATAACTGCACCCAGGAAATGGAAGCAGGTTGCACCCATTTGCTGCACCGTTTATATTTCCGAACCACACCTTGTGACGCTGAGCCATTAGCTCAATAACTAACATTATGACTCCGGACCGTTTGCAAATCTACTGACTTTGACCTTACGACTTTTATCCATCTATATTACTTGTTCTTATCAATTCTTATCAAATGCGTAAAGCACCTAGTTTATTATATATTATATGTTTGTTTTTCGTCAGTAGAAAGGCCATTTTTTTGTTTTTGTATATATGATGGGCCGTCGTTTGATCACTATCTTGCTTGATGGTAAGCGATGATGCGCTCTACGATGGAGCACATCGTCCCACAAGCCCTATTTCAACACGCAGGTGAGATACCCTTCAGGAAATACAGACTCTGGCAAAGAACTCCACTCCTTAGCAGTTTTATTCCATATTGAATGGTTATAAGTACCTGTTTTGATTTACTGCCTATAAGACTATCATTTATTTGAGTACTCCACCTAAGTCGAGAGTCACCCTTGTGTCTTAGCTATATACCTTACCTAGTATACAAAAAAAATAAAGGGTGTAGGGATAATTTCAATGACTTAGGTACTTTTTTAATTTGGAATATATGCTTCATTTGATTTATCTATTACTAACTTAGGCACTTTCTAGTACCTGTAAGATTATTACACTTAAAACACGTCCTTTTCTATTCTATATCAATTAGGCTAAACTCATCATTTAATGTACACAGGTACCTACGTGTACTCTTCTTACGTAATTAACTCGTAAAAAGATTTACTCTCCCGGATCGAGCCCGCCCAGCGTCAGACAATATGGCGCCTGCTTTCTTTTGGCGCCTAGAGTCTTGGTCGTTTCTTTGTTAAATGGCGATAAATAAATCTATAACTTCTATTTGAATGTTGCCAAAGCTCGCGTTAGGTAATTTTTAAGGAAATTAAATCAAACTTTATTCATGAATTAAATTATGATTTGCTCTCAATGGTATATTCCGATGTTATTTTACAAATTTAGGTATATTAAGTAATTCTAGATTCAGGCTTTTTCATTCCATCTATGCACCTGTATACTGTGAACTCGATACCTTTTTGATCTGATCCTTTTTTTGTCTTGATCCTTTTTGTCTTGATCCTTTTTTTACTTGATCCCTTTGTGAATCTATCTGGTCTATTTGGTTATGCCTTGTTAAGGCAATGAATATTAAATACCGAGTGTCGGGACGCACCTAACGGAAACAAAGAACATCAATAGATATAACTTGAATGTAATCTGATTCAGATCAATATTATACATAAATGGACCGGATTGTCCGGATCGGAGTTTTATCACGTCGTATAGTTTATTGGTGTGTAGTGACGTCATTTGCACACACAGAGACGGTACTGAATCTGAGTTAATTACCCGTGCTTGTTTCATACGTTAGGTAGGTTATATATACTTCACTAAGTAAAAGTACTTAGGTTCGTAGGAAATTGAAACGCAAAAATTACCTACTTTAAACGCACAATAATACGTAGTTGTCAATAGTATAACATACAAAAATCGTACACACAAAACTGGAAAAACATTAGGTAACTTATAACTTATTTAACTTTTATTTGTATATGTAATTAAAACTTTTGTTACGAAATAAGAAAAAAAAACAAGTCAATTGATATTGTAAGTGTACATTTTCTGAAGGAAATATAAGGCTTTTTATTTTATTTTATTTATTTATATAATACGTAGTTGGAATTTAAGTTAGGCTAATTACATTATTAGAAGAATTCTGACAAATATAGTTATTTAAGCTCATTAACTTTCATGATTAAAATGCGTATCACCCGTTAGATATACAAATTTGCGTATAATCGCGAACTGTGCAATATGTTGTTCGTTTAATATTATTTATATTATCTATCTATGACTATTTGTTTATTTTGCAGGTGGTATTATCGGATTGCTGCTTGGCCTGCTACTACCACAGCGTTATGTTGGTAAGTTTGTAAATGGCACTAGCTACAAAATGTACCATTCCCATAGAGACGGCTAACCCCGACCCCACTGCGAAAATGTCAAAGCTTAAATATGACGCATTTATATCCACGGTACCCTTTGGTTATTGAGTACGTCATTATTACTGTACAATTGGTAAATATTGTATTATTTACTTTATTTAAAAAAAGGTATTTTGACACAAAATTACTAAAACCGTCTGTTTTTTTGTCTGGAAAATGGTATTGCAATTACCTCTAGTATCTATGCTCTATTTTATTCCCGATGTTAATCTTATTTTGTGTTACAGAGCTGGAGGTCTGGCCTCGGTCCGAGGAGTACAACTGGGAGCAGCCTCTTATCCAGGTGCGGGGCAACGACCCCGGCAGCTGGCATGTCTGGTACCGGCGACTCAACGACTTCCTCAGGGGTAAGGAGTACCATCCATGTACCTACAAATTTAAATTTGAACTGCTTATTATCTTTCTACCTAAGATGTAACTTTGAATGGGACAAGCTCCGAAATCCGCTAGAACTCCTGTAAGCCAGGATATACAGTAGATACAATACATTACAGTAGATCAAAAGATATTATGATGTTACTATTAGAGGGGGCCTCTTATCCTCTCATTATTGTGTGTGTGTAATACTAATCCATTTTGGCCATAGCCCCGGCCTACCAAGAAATTCACAGACCTCTCTGGCTGGCTGGTGAACTCTCAAGGTGACGATGCGAAGTAGCCAATATGTGTGTGTATTGTGTATGTAGGTACATAAGCCCTTCCAAAACATCAACCATTTTCTCATCAATATCATTCCAATTTCTCATCAGTTTACGAGACTTCGATCCCCGAGGAACCCCCTCGAGCTCCGTGCTCGGTTCACAACCGACGCGATCAGCACCTTCGCTCCGACCCCTGTGACATGGCTATGAGACTCTGGCACCCCTGCACCGCTGATGACTTCTACGGATACGCCATGGGGAAGCCTTGTGTCTTTCTTAGATTGTCTCATGTAAGTAGGAGCACAGGTGGATCAAAGCTACGAATTTTGTTCTATTTTGTATTAAATGAAAAAAATATTGCGCATATTTATATCTGTTTCTATTCGTCAGATCCACTACTGGGTACCAGAGCCCTATAACATCACGACTCCGCTGGCCATACCTCCTGACATGCCACAGCACATACGAGAAGCAATGGTAAGCATAACATTATTATTAATACCTAACTAATTGAAATTAGCTATACTTTTAGACTTAGACGCAATAGACTCTTAAAAAGGGGACTCGAGGTCTCAATTGGATTGAAAAATACATACATAACATCAAACCTTTATCTCCGAAGGGGTAGGTAGAGGTGACATTACGGCATATAATGCCACTGTACAATGTAACACCCACTTTTGACTATTTATGATATAAGACCCATGTAATAGGGGGTGAGCCTATTACCATATACCGGGCACAATTCCAGGCTCCATGCTACATGCCCGACCCGGGAATCGAACCCAAGACCCTTGCTGAGCAGTCGCACTGGCGACTGGCAGTGAAGAATAATACTGCTTTTTTAACCTTTCTGCACTATCGACAGAAGTAACTAGAATGAAGTTCGTCTGATTTAACTCGTCGAGTACCGTCATTATAGACACAATTATAGAACAATAGGTTGCGGTCACCGGTGACCGCTTGGTGTTTGACAGTTTAAATCAGTCATCGTTACGTAACGCCACCGTGTCGCAGGCAACAACAAGGGTGTCATGTATATGTTGTAGACTCCTACCTTTCCTACGAGGTTCGACAGCTTATGAGAGGAAAACAAAACTTTCCTACTGTAAGACCAAAGACTGGTGACGTGGACCACAACTGAATGGCTCATTGTGAATGATCACAGATTGCTAAGTTGCAGAAAATATAAGAAAAAAAATATATGTTGTAGACTGGTCAACGTAATAGCGTATCATTGTGACTGATTACTTTTGTTTCCACAGCGTCATCGCCCTGCCAACCAATACGGTGACTTCGTGTGGGTATCCTGTGGAGGAGAGTTCAGCGCTGACAAAGAGAATATAGGGCCCATCCAGTACATCCCTGCCGAGTACCCACCAGGGTTCCCCCTCAGCAGGCTTCACACTGCTGACCGGATTCCCTACTCCGCCAGGAACCTCCCCGACCAGGTCCCCGGGCCTCTGATCGCTGTGCATTTCGAAAACCCACGACGTAAATATTTTATTTTATATTGATTTAGCAAATTATGTCAAAAATAATAAGCCCAAAAACGCCAACAGCGCCAATTCAGGTTTTTAAGTTTCGAATTATTATTCTACATATCCCAGGTTTAATTATTGTCTCTGAAAATTAAACAAAAATATTGCCACTGCAGTTGGTTTTTTTAATAATTAATTATTTTTTATTTACCTACTTATGCAGTAATTAAAGGATATTTTTTTTTCCAGGTGGAGTGGTGATCAACGTGGAATGTCGTATTTGGACCCGAGATATTTTCTACGATCCTAAGAGCCGTTACGGACGCGCGCGTTTCGAATTATTTGTCGAATAAACTGGCAACCCTGGTTGCATGCAAACTTTTTGTTTTTGTTAGGATTTTCAGTTCATTTCGATCTCATTATTATAGTACTTTTAAATCTTACTTTAGAATTTTCATAAAAAGTAGACTACCTACCTAATTATGGTCCTAACAGACTCACAGGCTGTTTTAGGTTTAAAATTGTATTTTCTACTAACTTTTTTTAAGAATGAACTACATTATGATATTTATAATACATACCCTATAATACCTAAATTATAAGAAATATAAATATAATAATATGTTGAGACTACAGTTACCTACCTATATTCTACGGGTTCGAATAATACACTTTTTTAGTTTTTAGCTACTAAGTAGAGGTACATAAATTCCTAGAATTTTAGTCTTCGTACAGCTTTTGTAAGAAAATGAATGAACGTTTAGTAGTTTGAATATCAAAGTGTTAAAATACAACTCTCAAATACCGCTATTTAGGTACATTAAGGAAGAAAAGTTTAAATAAGAGATTGTGTTGAAAAGATCAATTATTTAGAGTTAATTCATTATTTAAAATTTATAATAATTGTAAGATTGAATATTATAGATGTTGTCGTTTCGCTTCATTTAGATGTAATATTTACCGCATATAAATATTTGTAAATGTTGTCATACCTGTATGGTTACTGTATTGGTTAATTATTGAAAATATACCAACGTGTTGTTTATTCTATAAACTGTCTACCTATATAAAATAAAAAATAATTGCCAAATATACCTGTGCTCGTACCTGAAATGAAATTGAATTGCCTACTATCTATATGCTAATGTGATTTGTAAATTATTATGTTTCCGGCTTACTCACGTAATAATTTGACAAGGAACTCTACTAGTTTCAAGCCATGCTAGCGGCTCATATTCATGAGCAGGATTTCGCGACCCGCGACGCGGCGACTGTCGACAAACTAGTCGAGTTCCTCGTCAAATCATTACGTGAGTAAGCCGAAAACATAATAATTTATTTATTATGTCTCACGAAAGTTACAATACAATGTGATTTGTGTTACATCCTACATTTCTTTCTTCTAATATAATAAGATTTAATGTAAATAAAATATTAGATATAAGATCATATTTAATAATATCCTGTGGTTAATTATATTGCAATGTTAAAATTACAGTTTCCTACTGCCTCCTTTTGTGATGTCATCTTGTGAATAAAAGTATAAAAAATCACTCGTTGTTTTTTTTATTAGGGCTATGCTATACGGGCGGTTCTCCAGCCGCGGGAATCCGCTTCTGAACCGCACTAGACTTAATTCTTATGGACATTGTATGCTACAAACTACACGGCGCGGTTTTCCGCCGCGGTTTGCAGGCGGGAGAAATTCGACCGACGCATGCAGCGTAAAACCGCCGCTGCTGCTGTTTACCGCCGGGCGGTTATCCGCTATTGCGTCATTGTGCGGGACCTCGCTCGCTCGTCATTCAATCAGACATTCTATAGTAAGAGAAAAACTTATGAAGGTTATCACGGCGTGCACTAAACATTGAATTAAATATTCCCGAAGTTAAACGGTTATTAAACACTGGTTCCACCCAAATATTAGGATTTACTTTATTTTTTAACAATTCTAATAATATACGAGCTGCAAGCGCAGTTATCATTGTAGGTTGTTGGTTTGCGGGAGCTTTGTCGAGCGGATTCCCGCGACGTGAGAACCATCCGTGTAGCATAGCCCTTAGGTATTACCTGACCAAAAGTTCGAAACTTAATTACAAAAATTGAATACCTGAAGGATTTGAGCTATTATTACTTTATTGAATATATTAAATAATTCTAAATCAGTGAATTCGTAATTTTTTTACAGGAAATAACTAAATTATTAATTAATGATATTATGAAACTAATTCCATATAACCACTCATATAACCAGTGCTGAGTCTTAGGCATAAGGCAACTAACACCTGTTTGCGTAGAAGACTCATTTGTCAAACTTTATCATCCTCTTATACATTTTTGTGCTCACGGTGTGGGTCCTAGAATAGTTAAAACTTTACAATTCCATGGTGTGGGTACACAATAAACTGTGCAAGTCCTGAGAATGAAGCTTATTGCTATTAGTTACCACTATTAAAAATAGTTTTATTTAGATAAAGGTTGCCATATAACAAAAAAATGGTAGCTTTTTCAATTTGATCTGGCAACACCACTCAGCTGTCTTCGTTTTGACATTCCGTATCCGTGGACGTTTCTAACCGGATTATCGTCGAATCACCTATTTGCACCGCATTTTTAATTGTGAGATAGTTTGGTGCACAGTTATCTTAAACAGTGCGTCGCAATATATTCAAGATGTCTCGTCTTAGGTTTTGTTTGTTATTAGCAGTATTATGCAGTTGTTTGCAGAATGGTAAGTGGCGTTCCGTAAAACTATTTATGTTGCAATACATTCTCTGTTGCTTTTTATCGTTGTGTAGGGGCCGATTGTACGGTTCAAGCGCTTTGTTGTCGTGATTGAGCGTTATTTGCGCAATTAGCAGTGAAAAGAGATGATTTTTGTGCCCCTGTAGTGATGTGAGTTTCTAGAAAAATGTACCCACATCTGTAAAATAATTGAGTCTTTTTTCTAGCTGATTCTGTGATTCTATAAGCACGGTTTACGTATTAGTAATCACGGTACGAGGAATAGACATTTTGGAATTATTATCTGTTTGCTTTTATCTTTCAGTACAGTTGTGAATTTTATAAAACGAAGGGTATCAGTAAATTGTTGTTTACCTGCGCAATTTATTACGTCCGAGTCATTTTGTCCCAATAGATGACCTTCTCAAGAAAAAATAACTAAAATATCCTTTTTTTGCTTTGAGTAACTAAATGACTTAAAGTGGCATACCTACATTGGTAAAATATTATACTAAGCTCACCTATAATTTGTTTTGTTGCAGTAAATAGCATAATTCTTACTTTAAAAAATAAATGTTAGCAATCTGAAGGTTACATTACAAAAGAATTTCATTAGCATAATAGTTTATTTTTGAAGGTAGCAATACTTAGTACATTACAACTATTTTAGAGGGTAATGGACAATAACTATTTGCAGTTTATAAATTAATCATAAGTTCATCCATTTCAACCTACTAACATTATTTAACATACTGACAATGTATGCCTACCTTTTACCTTATCATCACAGTTTTTTCTACTAAAAACGCCTGATATTCCCTAAAAACTGGCTTGTGATGTAAAACTTTAGTGTTGTTTTAAAATATATTTTCCATCCTTATTTTGTCTAGATTGCAAATATAATACAAGTTCTTTTTACGTTTATATGCTTTTGTGTAACTACCTGAAGTTACGTTTTTATAATAACTATCTCGAGACATACTAAACTATAATAAACTTAATTTAACTAAAAACTAACTACCTCAAGTTATTTCACACTATTGTCCATATTACCCACCATTTCAAATATAATATCCATCTATAAATCTATTAAAGTCTAATTAGAATCTGATCATAGGCTCGCCCTATTACATGGGACTCATAACAGAAATAGTGAAAAGTGGGTGTTACATTGCACAATGGCATTAAGTGCCGTAATGTACCAACACCTCTGCCTACCCCTTCGGGGATAAAAGGCGTAATGTTATGTAGAATTTGTTTTCAAAGTGTCTAATATACATATTTGTGTTATCAAGTTATACAATAGTATAATTATTGTATAGTCACAAAATATTACCACCTTCATGTTACTTAGAATATTGTTTAAAATATATTGTTTTGCGTTTAACAACACTTTTCTCATTGTATCATAATGATACCTGTCATAATATCACAACTTTCATTACATTGTATTGAATTTCATTGTTATGTTAAATATTTTACCTCATTCCATACAAAATAATCATTGAATGTGGTACCCAATGTACCTGTTACCTCATGAAGATAACAGTTACTAGAATAATACAGTAGCGTGATGTTCAGAATCTTCAGACATGTAGTGATCTTAATGTAACCAATTTCTTTAACCTCTTGAATGACAGTTTATGAGACAATAGAAAATATGTTGTGTCACATGTGTGGATGCACAATATATGTGGATCCACATTCCAGCACACTATATGGTTTTTCAATCTTATTTCTTTGTAAGCAATCAATAATACATATTTTAGAATTAGAAGCTAGGTTGATAATATGCTGATGTCTGAACTACTCAATATAATAATCAATAATAATGTAGGTATGTTTGATATTTTATATCTATGACCTGTGTTTTGTCAAACAGATGTTCATGTCAATGAACTGTAGGTAGTTATGACTGGAAACAAGTTTATATTGAACTACTTGTATTGGTACTGAAACTTGTGTACTTGTTTTTTACTTTAACTTAATTATAACTTATCTACACTGGATATTTAACATGTTCCCTGTTCCCTGATATCTGATTTGTCATCTTACAACTTGGTGATCATTATGTGTCATGAATACATTTATGAATCATAGCATACTTTGAGACTCTAAAGTGGTTTTAACACATATTTTGTCCACAGGTTACGGTTTGACAACACCAAAGACTGTTACCCAGGATGTAGATCCTAAACCAGTAGTTCCTAAAACTTTGGCTGAAACAACACGAGCTGCCGAGTCGAGTTCGACAACGGCGGCACCTACAACACCAGCGCAGACCACACCAGCCCCAACGCCAGCACCGACACCAGCGCCAACGCCGGCGCCTACCCCTGCACCTACTCCTGCGCCCACTCCTGCGCCCACTCCTGCGCCCACTCCTGCGCCTACTCCTGCGCCCACACCGGCCCCCACCCCTGCTCCTCTCCCCGCCCCCGACCAGGGCACATGGGCCTACACTGATGAGAAGGCCAATGAGACCTGCATTGTAGCTCAATTTGCAGCACAATTGAATGTAACATACACCAAGTATGTGGAGAATGGTGAGTGAAAATGCTTAAAATATTAAAAAAAGAAAATTTCCAACTGTGTGAAGGACATTTTTGCTTTCTCATTATGTTCATTGAGGCTATGGATTTTTCTTTGTTGTGATTGACAACTGGTTTGTTACTTGTTTATAAATAAGATAATTTTTCAGTTATCATTAAGTGATGAGTGACCATTGTGATGAAACTTAAAGTGCTTATAGTTATTAGAATAGGATTATATATCATTAGGTTAGACAAGATAGGATTTCATACAAAAAGGTAGTTCTATAGATAAGCATGATCAAATAAACAAACTCATTTTATTA